GGTGTTGCGCTGATTGTTCCTGATACATCTCCAAGTGAGCTTCTTTCATGATGTTGACTGTAAAACCTCTGTGCCTGTATGGTGAATGTTCATTCATTAGAGATGTTGCGTGTATTTCAAGTTTATTCTAGCCATATCAGTTTTTGCGTAACTTCCTTATTTGATCTGAGAAATATGTAAAGAACTCATTTAGGTTGGAAGAGGGTTTGGCTGTCAATTTTAAGTTGGACTTGCCTTTGACTCAAAACTACTTAAGACTCCGTGTACGCGGGTGTTTGGATTGGCTTATTTTAAGTGCTTATTGGCTTTTAAGCACTTTTCTATTTTTGTGGTGTTTTGGCTTTTAGCTTATAAGCTACTTTTTAAAAGCCAATCCAAACACCCTCTAAATCACTATTTGATAGAGGTCATTCATTTTCTAACGCTAACATCTTTTAGATGATGCTATACTTTTATTTGTGATTGTCAATGAATACAAATTTAAGTTCTTACCTGGTTATTACATGTCTTGAAGCTTGTCAAGGTAATACAGAATTTGACTATACATGAATACTCGAAAAGAAAAAAAAACAGAAGCATTACTTCTATTTAAAATGTAATGCCTTTATCCTGCTATTAAAATTGACTTTTGTTATGTTAAAGTTCATATTGGAGCATCAATAAGCTGCACTTGACCTAGAGTGTGTGCTCCGTCTCCCGCTCTTTGCTTGATTCCCATTGGGCTTTTTTGGGCGTTTTTCACCTTTTGATTTTCTTAAAACGTTGTAGTTAAACTTTCCACATAAACTGGGAGGACTGGGAGTTTTACAAAAGAAGTGCTTATTTCTCTTTTAAAAAATTGTTTATTTCTTTTCCCCATATTTCTCTTAAAAAAAAAAGAACCTTGGATATTGTTGAACAAATATTTGTCTAATTATGGATGTTCTGAGCTTATGCCTAAGAATGATGTAGTGCTTTGACCAGATTTGTTGCTTGTTGCGTCTAAGCTGTTAGATGAACAGGTCAATAGGGAATCATATCCTATTGAGAAAATCATTTTATTTTGTGTTATAGTATGAGTCAGATAAAATCGATTGGTGTAATGTAAATTTGGATCTTTGAGACCTACGTTTTGTGCTAGTTAAGAAATTGCATTTGTGAGGAACGGGATCATACCGTCCTGGTTTAGATGGTGGGGCCCAAGGGGTAGATTGTTGAGTATACACCATGTAGTCATATGTGCTGGAATTTTACTGTCCTGAGCAGCAGACTATGTAATGTAATCACAGAGCAGTGGATGTAGTCCTGTTGCAGTCAAACCTTATTAGTCAACTAGGCAAATCTTGAGTTAGGTGACTAGGCTGCAGGCTCTCATACATGCATGTGTGTGTGTAACTGAAACTTAGCCTGCTATGTGATGGTAATTTTTTTAATCAAGCTATTCTTATTTTTTACTTTTGTACATATGGGCTATAAATCTAACTGGGTATTGCCTGTTCTTATTACAGGAGGCCTGAATGTGGAAGGAGAGTCAGACAGCTGGGACTTCGGTGTAGGTATGTGAAAAATATGTGCTATCGACCTCTAGGTCTGCACCCGTGTCAGACAACCGCACCTGTGTCCGAGCAACTTAGGTTTGACATCTGACAACCACACAGACCATGTGGGAGTTTCAAGGCTTACCTTATGATATGTTTCTTCATGTCTGCTCTATATATTTTCCATTGATGAATCAGTAATGGGGATAGTTATATGGACAATTTGATTTGTTCGCATATATTAGAACTCCCACCAATATGATTTATATGCTTCCATATCCTGTATCTTCCACCCCCCCCCCCCCCCCCCCAAAATTCCCAAAGTTCAAGTAAAAAAAAGCAAAAAAAAAAAAAAATACTACTAGAAACTAACAAGAACTGCTGTCTTTCCTGATGTCCTCTTTTCCCCAATATGAACTTGACATTTGCAGCCGGAAGAAGCTTAACTTACTAAAGATTATGTGTAACACTGGGAATAAAGGATTCTAATTTCTTCAGAGAAAAGTGCCTCACATTTCCTTTTGAAGTTCTGTTATGCTCCATTCAGGAAATATGATCAACCATACTATCCCTTAATTTCTCTTACACTTGAATTACTTTTTCAGAAGGAATGGGTTATTTGCAGTGCCATCTAAGTTTATGATAACTCTTAGCTGAGATGCTTTGTCTGAGTTTTCATAAGCTGAATTGGTATGAGAAAGTTCAAATTTATTTTTTGGAATAGGTGCTGGTTTCTATCTAAATGCTACACAAGAGAAATGGAAGAACTGGAGGATGTATGACTATGTGGTCAAAGAATTGCCGTCACTTCTTCTTGAAAACTTTCCAGAACTTGATACATCACGGGCATCTATCTTCGGTCACTCTATGGGTGGGCATGGAGCACTGACAGTCTACCTGAAAAACCTGGATAAATATAAGGTAGTTCTCTGTGAAATTATGTCTACACATGAACTGAATGTTAGCCAGCAGCTGACTGATTTTATTTGATGCTGAATCCTAAGGTTTGAAATTTTGAACATTTAAAGCTTCTTAAGACCTTTAGTTTCCATATGAATTCATGTGAGCATTCACACGCAGCATTTTGCTTGTTTTCTTTCCAGTCAGTATCTGCCTTTGCTCCTATTGCAAATCCGATTAACTGTCCCTGGGGCCTGAAGGCTTTCACAAACTACTTGGGTGAAAATAAAACTGATTGGGAGGTATGGTCTTTAAGTTTTACTGCATAAAACTAGACATTCTTGATGTGTCTTCATCTTATTGGGATGTTAAATTCTGAATATGCAGGAATATGATGCTACCTGCCTTGTATCAAGGTTTAACAATGTCTCTGCTACCATTCTTATTGATCAGGTACGGCTAAATCTCTAATACAACGGATGATTTTCTCGAATTGAGCCTTTGAGTAGTTTGTTGTTAAAATGTCTCTCTATCTTCTATTTACAATATTATCAAGGGACATGAGCTTTCTGCAGTTGGTCTTAGGCTTTAATGAGTACAACTGGGATAGCATCTTGCTCAATTCTGTTGCGTGGAGGTCTTCCACCTTTACAAGTCTATTGAAAAAAGAAAGGTCTTCCACGTCTATGTAGCTTCTCTTGCTTTAATCTGGTTGTTGCCTTTCAACCGGAAGAAACAGAGCCCTTGGTAGCTCATCCTTGTTATTGCAAAAACAGCTAAGATTGTGACAATTTGAGAGCTTAGATTTGGCCGTACCTGAAGCTTGATGGTGTTGGATTAAAAATGGATGCTCATTTGACCAGTGTGAAATTTATCAGCTAGTGATAATATGATACAGTTAACAGGACAATTTTTCAGCTATGTCTTTCCAGGTTTCTAAGTTCTAACAGTGTCCTCTGACCAAAGCTGCTTAGGCTAAGGAGATACGTCCTGACACCTGTCACGCCAACACTTTTTGGTCTTTAAAATCCCATGACCATAAGAGATGGAACTACTAAGTCTGGAGGTGATATAACTACTTTGTTGTGCCACACATATTTAGCTGTTTGCTTTGTGGAGAAAATAGGAGAAAAGTTTAGGTTCATGATTTCGTATATTTTGAATTAGAATTGATTGTTGGGAACTTGTGACAAGGAACTGTGTGCGCTGTCAAAATTCAACTTTAGCTGCTTCCACCAAGAAAAGCATTGTATTTTGAACTGCTGAAGGGCAAATAAAAGGACACCATTGATGTATTATAATCAATGGTGACGGGTAAGGTATGCGTACATCCTACCCTCCCCAGACCCCACTTGTGGGATTCTCACTGGGTTTTTTGTTGTTGTTGTCTCTGCTTGCAAATGTAGAATAGAATGGTTCCTAGATAGCTCGCTATACGTCCTATATTTCCTATGAATATATGACCTAACATATTTCTCAATTTATTTGAACTTCTGATTGTTTTTATAATGTAGGGAGAGGATGACAAATTTTTAAAAGATCAATTGCTCCCACATAAATTTGAGGAGGCATGCAGAAAGGTTGGCGTTCCTTTGCTGGTGCGGTTGCAACCTGGTTATGATCACTCTTACTATTTCATTGCCACCTTCATTGATGATCACATTCGTCATCATGCCCAAGCCCTTAATCTTTGATTTGGTTAAGCTTCTACTTCTGTTGAAGATTTTCTGGAAATGTAACGAGGGACGACTTAAGCAAGCTAATAGTGGTGCACTTTTCGTGTGGCAGAAAGTATGTTGAGGTACTTAATGAGTTGTACTATCAAACAAGTGTGAATTTCCTATCACATTCTGTGTCTGTGTTTCCCGTTGCTCTTGTTACAGTTTTTTCATTTGCTATGACTCATCAGTGAGATGTAGTAGAGTTAAGGATGTAGTATAAGTCTATCAAGTTTTGCAAATAGTGCAAATCCATCATCAAGATCAATGAAACATGACAATAAGCTTCCTCTTAAAGCTTTAAAATTTTGGTGTGGTCCAAGAACATCCACTCTCATGAAGATTCAGTCATAAAGTCCATCTGAAGTGCGTTTTTTTCGAGAAACTGCTCGAGTTTTAGCAAAAGCGTCAACAACCTAATGAGTATGAATAAGATCTTTTTCGATCTTACCGTCTATTATGATTCAATTTTCCTTAGTTTTATGCTTAGGTGCTGCTACGGAATTTTATGTTCAGCTTGTCAATATATGGATACATTTTTTTTCTAGCAATTATTACAACCAAAATTTTATAACATTTTGAATCACTTCAATCTAACACGGACTCTAGGGGAACAAAAAAAGTAAGTATTTACTAACACCACTAAATGGTGTCATGAAATGGTAAAAGCTTCTTTTAACTAGAAATCTCTCGAATTCGGGTCACGGGACGGAAATCATATTTCTAATAGAACTGGAAAACCCCCATAGTAGTCTTCCACGAAAAATTTAGCTTGAGTTACAAATTGTTAAAGCATTGGCTTTTAATGTTTAAGTAATTGGAGCAATGTGATGATAATGACCACAGTGCATATGAGAAGCATGAGTATGCAATAGATGATCAATATCATCTTAAAGAAGCAAATCTAATGGTTACAACTATAGCCCTATGAACATCAAGAATTCTTCTTTTAATGGCTCTATAAGATCATTTCTTGTGATTACATTGTCAACAAAAATATCTCCTCCAGGAGAAAATTTTGCCAACTATTGGCTGATTACATTAACTTTTACTATTTAACAAAAAAAAAGTACAAATGAGTGCCTACTGTACATCACCATGCTTCAAGTATAGCAGCCAAGAAGTCTCGTGCTCGGAGTCCTATGAATATTCTGTACAACCAATATACAATTCTGCACTTCCTCATTCTGCTACTGCGTTTTTCCAGCAGAACAAGTTTCTGCTGTCCAAGCCTGCACTTGAATCCCTCAGGGAAGAAAGAGTCGGTACCTCAACAAAAAATAAGACATTTGTCGTACTATCAGCCAGCTAACAGATTATTATGTCTTACTGCTTCTTCCTCAGCTCCTGCTCTCCCACCACTGGTGCTGATATCTGACAAAGAATAGTTATGGTTCCCCTCTCGGTTCATAGGAGGGGTGGCAGTAAATGCTGGTTCAAGGTTCTCGTTGACACTCTTAGTTGGCCTCTTCAGTCTTTTTGGCCTTTGTTGCATGTCAATGTTTTGTAGGGAGCCATCTATATCATCTTCCATCAGTGAGTTGGGTGATAATGATTCAAGATTTTTCGGATTCTTTTGAGGCCTCGATTTTGGGGTTTGTTTGTCGGTGGAACCTTTCCTCTGCACATAATTATGAATCAAGTCAAATTGAAAATTGTACTATACAGTTGAGCTTGTTCATTGTGCAACAAGAAGAAGCTAAGGCAATTATTTTGAAACGAGTGTACAAGTATAACTTAGCCATTATATGCAGCAACTATAAATCGGGAGGTAACTTTAATGCAGGAAAGAGTAACTAGACAACCTAAGTCCGTGAAAAGGTCAATATCAGAAACAATATTTGCATCTGAGAAGTCATCACCTTTTTACTACTTGATTTTGCTTTCCCAGGATCAAGAGTGTCATCCCCATTCCCAACAGATTCACCGTTTGTAAGATCTTCTAATGATGCATCACCATCAGCACCAATTCGTATGCCTTTGGTGCCACCTTTCCTCTTTTGTCTTTCTTTAGCCTGCTAATGATCCAACACCATATTGCTCAACTAGAAACAAGAAATAAGCTGAAAAAAGGGAGGGGAGGGGGTTGGATAAAAGGGAAGTAGGAGAACTAATTATCATAAGGAGATTCCGAACACTATTCTAATATCTCACCTGAAGAGGAATTTCCTTCAGTTTCTGCTCCAATTGTTTATCATCAATCAGCAAAGAGACGACATCTTCTGGAGCCAAAAGGTCACCCTGAACATGTCCTCCTGTCATGACAAGCTGTTGCACGGTATTCTTCTGACTAGCTCTCTGCAGAATTTTCTCTTCAACCGTCTCTTTACAGATTAAGCGATAAACAGTAACCTGCAAGTGAAATAATACCTCTTTACATAGAAAAACATGATCACAAGACGAGAGGGGCCATTTGCAAATATTATAGTGCCGTTTCACCAGGAAAATGTGATACAACAATCAGAAAAAAAGAAGGAATATCGAATACATGGAAAAGGTATAAGAGAAACACTATCGGCAAGAAAGTGACCTCTGAAGATAATGATAGGTGGAACTTTTTTATTGCTCATTTTAATGTCTGATAAAAGAAATGCCGGTGCATCCACTACCGGAACTTTTCTGCATAAACTAACTGATTAGCTAAACTGGATTATCTTAGATGCAAACAAGTTCTTAATCATCCTTTACGATTTCTTCTAAAAGCAGCAATGACCAGGAAAAGAAGACAAGATATCGTTATCTTTAGAAATAGAGCTTCATGGTCCAAAAAAGAAAATGTAGAAGTGGAAAACCTACATCCTTAGTTTGACCCAGCCTATGAGCTCTATCCATTGCCTGTAAATCTAAAGTTGGATTCCAGTCACTCTCATAGAAGATGACTGTGTCAGCAGCTGTCAAGTTGATACCAAGGCCCCCTGCTCTTGTGCTCAGCAAGAACACAAAAATGTCGCTCCTACAAGGAAATCAACATTACTCAGTACAAATATAAAAAAACGGATTATAAGTTCCTTCGAATTCAAAACATACCGATGCTGGAAATCTTTGACCATGTCTCGTCTATCCATTATAGTGGAAGATCCATCAAGCCTCAAGTACTTATATTTCCTGTAGTGCATGTAGTCCTGCAAAACAAGTGAAAATATTAGCAATCTCACAAGTGAAGAGTTTCTTTATCCTTGCAATTTTAGATCCATTACAAATGAAAACTTTCCTAGTAATGGGGTTATGTTGCAGTAGAAAACATACTCTGGTCTTTGCAAACTGAGTCCATTATAAGACGAATGTAGCAAATAGAGGAACCAATACAGGAGTCTCAATAACAGCTTCGTATAACTTCATATAATAAGAACTACGAAGCATAAAGCATAGTTATTAATGTTGTTATTATTGTTGTATGCTTAGCTTCACATAGTATGCTCAGGAAACTACTCCATGATTCAATCTAACCTAAGCTTGGTAGGAGTTAGGACGTCAAAAGAAAGCGACACTCAGAACTCATTGTTTATGCATGGGCGGGTCTAAGTATCTGTTATCAAACAGTTATTCCAAGATGAGCTACAAGCCTCTCCCACGCATTGATGGCGGAAGAGAACCTGTACTATAAAGCACCAAAACACGGGAAAAGATACTACATGACAAACATTATAGCAGTGCTTAATTTAGCAACACATGGTTATTTTCGATCAATTTAATAGCTTCACAAAAGTTTTACATGCAAGCTGCATTTTGCATTTATACCAGCAATGGTTAGTGAACCAAAGCATCATGGCTAAGACTACCAGTAAACTTGCTTTCCCTCAGAGTCTCACTCTTTTCAACTCTCCAAAGCTAAAACCAAATACAAACATACAGTTGCACAGGCAGAGAAACTGCCACTGCTACTAGCATCATAGCATTACAAAAAGACAAATCTAAACCGCCAAGGAGCAGCAGAAAGATTCAAATACCTCTATAATATCCAACATTTTTGTCATTTGTGCAAAGAGAAGAACACGGTGATTCCCTGCCCGCAAGCGCTTTAATAGTATGTCAAGTGTTTGAAGCTTCCCTGAGTCCTGTAATTACATAGGACATTTAGATACTGTATGTGCTTAAAGGCACATAGATGTATTAAAGAGGAAAGGAAAAGAGAAGGAACACATCAATGGAAAAGATAGCATACTGTTAGCATCTTTGCAGGGTCAAATGGTTGCACAGGTGGACATGACCCGAATATTTTGTATGTAAGCTGAAGAGCAGGTTGTGAGACAGGTAATTCAGAGTCTATCTCTTGTATTAAATGGTGTGTGACACCTGGCTTCCTAGGACCATTATATTCTGATGTGCGTGCAAACCCAACCAACAACCTCTTAATCCATGGATGGTGTAGTTCCTCGAGCATTTTGTAAGCAAAATTTCTATCCGAGCAATGAGCATTTATCTACAAGATACATCTGGTAGATTAGTAACCAATTGCTTATGCATGGAGAGCACAAAGTAAGAGCAAACAATGTAATACCACTTACAGGGGGTGCTCTTGTTCTAGGAATGAAGGAGTATATGGAATGTAAGAGATTAACATTAGATAAAAGCCTATCCTGATGTTCCATGACCAAAGCTTCAAATGGTGCATCACCAGGACCTGTGGCAAGTCTTGTTCTTAATAAATCTGTTCCTTTCCTAGATGGAAGCAATAACATTCGTGTCACTGCTCTTACTTTGTCCCGTCCAAGGTGACTAAAATAGGGATCATCATCCTCAGACTCCATCAGCAAGTCCAAAACTTCATCTGAAAATTGTCGGTTGCTTCTCACAATTGAGAATAACAATTTTTCCAAGAAAGAACCAGTTGCCGAAAATGAAACCTCCATAGGTGACATATCAATTAACCGAGTAAAACCAAATGTTCCGCTCCGTATATAGCCAACATCTGACTTGTGTACTTCTTGCAGTATCGAGCGGTGAATATTCTCCGGAGAATATATGTTAAAGTACTTATCAAATAATTCTTTTCTTACACCTTGGGCCATAGTTGAGTGAAGCATGCTCGATCTGAGAGCTTCCCGGTAAACCAGCTTTGGTATCTGAAGGGATTTATACGAAGAGTAAGTTCAATAAGCATGAAATTTCCTGATTATTAAGAAGTCCTACTTAGCCAACATTTCACCGTTTCCACATGCATATATTGAGGAATATCAGCAAGAATCATCTTGCTGAACTGGCTCTAGTCGATTCAATTTATAAATTTGGATTTACTTGACATGTTCTAGTAAAATTGAGCTCCAGAGTAAACAATAACTTGTTCTTCGCGTTCTTTTGTGATAGTTTCTACATAATCTTGCTGAACTGGCTCTAGTCGATTCAATTCATAAAATTGGATTTACTTGACATGTTCTAGTAAAATTGAGCTCCAGGGTAAACAATAACTTGTTCTTCGCGTTCTTTTGTGATAGTTTCTACATAATCTTCTATTTTTCTGTAGATAAGTGAATTTTATTGACAGTAAGCGAATAGGGAGTAGAAAGAGGTAAATAGAACTGTAGACTGACGCTCCAATCAACATAATCCAACCAGCCACCTATGCATTATCTCTAGTGTAATCCAGAAGTGTACAAAAAGCACAATAGCATAAATCTGATCAAGTAATTTCTTATTCCATCACATGGCCTTCGATTTGGTTCTCTCCACATTGTCCGCATAACAGCCTATGGGATTACATTTTAACCTCTGCCCTTCCCCTTCCAGCATTGAAGAGTTAAACAACAGTCTTAGACTATGCATCTTCTTGATGCTTTTTTAATGGAACACCTTACTTCATCAAAAAAAAAAAACAGTCCTAGACATTGTATTGTTAGCACCAAAGAGAATCTCAAAAAGTCCATAGCTGTGTTGCTATGTTACAGAGAAATGAGTAACGATTAACCATCTTCACCACTCCTTCACATAAAAAATACCAGCTGATATGTCTTGTCAAATTATCTGCAGAAAATAGTGTTCCAAGCAGCTCTCTCAACAAGGAAGTTGATGCCGCAGTTCCAGGTGGTAGAACGACGGTGAGGTAGGAAAAGTAGTGCCGGCATGATGGTGGATGAAGAGTGACAGGGGGGAGGTTGTAGCAATCTGAAAGGTTTTTTTATTGCGGTAAACAATCCAGCTAGGATAGTTCCCTTTTTTGGATTATTATTTGGTCTCAATTCCACTTTTCATCGTCTCATTTGTTTAATCTCCATGTCATCTGCATTTGAGTTTCACGTGCCTGGAGACTGTTAATATTGTGTTTGATAGGTACATTTTGCACATAGGTTAAGTGTTCAATAGGTCACACTCGAGGTGTATAAATGAATTTTTTTGACAAGTTCAAGGGGCTGTCTATGCACTATGCCATTAAATGACTGCATTGAATCAGGCAGTTTTCTGTGTACATATAAACTAATAATACCAAACAAGAAGCATAAAGAGATCTAAGGAGTACCTGGTATGTAACAGCACTTCGACCGCCAGAATAGAATACATCCTCCAGTTCCCCGAAGGGAGGAGGTAAAAGTGAGTTTGGAACCTCTCCAAAATAGAAGTAAGAAGTTCCTTCATTTCTCTCAAACAGCTCTGGATGGTTGCACACCTGGCATTTTCCAACAAGAGAAATAAAAGCACTTGGTGAAAAAACTTTGGAAAAAATAACACTACTATGGAAGGTCCACCATAAAATTATCAGGTGATGCAACACGAAAGAGCAGTAAAGAAAGAGATCAATCACCTTCCTTAGCTGGATAACAATATTCATCAGGTTTAGAATTTTCTTCTCATTGAGATGCCCACGGCTGCTATCAAACAACTCAGCAAGGGATATCTTGTCTTTTATTGCTCGATAAAATGCCTGCTGGCGAGAACTCAACTTACAGTGCACTGTGATTTCAGTTTTCCCAGTCAACTCAGAAACCACATCCTTTTTAACCCGTCGCAGCATGAAGGGTTTTAAAATGGCATGCTGTTCAGAAGATTCAGAAAAGAGAAATCCATCAAGAAGGAAAGTCTAGTTACCTAAGAAGATATTAGACTTTACCTAAGAAGATATACTAATATTATTCAGATTAACAGAGAGAAGAAAGATGGAGATATTATGACAGGATTTGATGAATTACCATCCAAAAAACTCCAGATAAGATTGACATCCATGAATAACAACAATAACCACATAACAAGGATGTTTCTTCTAACTAATTACTAGAGCGATGTTCTTGACACCAGAAATATACAAGATGAGAATATGCAAATAAAAGAAACTTATAAAAGAGTTCATGGATTGTTCTTGACAAACTAAATATAAAGATGACAATGTGTACTATATGTCTATTTTTAGTTAAGTCAAAATGACAGGAAACATTCTTCAGAAAGAAATTGAATTGTTGTAGGTCATAAGGCAGCTGTATCTTAGAATATTGGATTGTCATAAACAACTACAAAGCAAAGATCCCTCACCAGTCGGCTGAGCTGGTGCTCGTTCAATGTTCCACCATGCTCTGCGTGGTTCTCAATTCTGATCAGAAAGCACAAAGAATTATCACCAGGATGGACAACTGATACATTAAAGCAAGAAACACCTTACACTGAAACATACATACCCTTTTGAAAACCATTCGTTGAATTGTTCGTGGCTATCAAATAAAGTAGGCATAATAAAGTGGAGGAGCGCCCAGAGCTCAGCCATGTTATTTTGAACTGGAGTACCAGTCAGAAGCAAACGGTTTCGACAATTGAAACTCAATAATGTCTTCCATCGTATACTGTCAACCAGAGCACAACAAGATCAAATGAGAGTGAGAAGTTATGATCAACAACTTGTTGCCTTATTCAGATTATTCAACAGGTGCAACAAGATACATGGATGCACAAACTTAAATGAATAAATAAATGTGCCAGTGTTTTAAATTGTGGCATTTGAGAAATGAAAGTTAAATCAGTATTTGAGGTTCCTGTCATCATTTTTTTTTTTTTTGATTTGCACCGGGTGTCCGAGTCTCTAAGAGCCCCGACTAATCCCGGGGGTGCACAGGCCTCGGCAAGGAGTTTCCCGCAAGTGCACCACGGTTAATTCAGGTTTTACCCAGTCCGATGGCCCTCAGAAATTGTTTGCACCCAGTGGGTTTCGAACTTGAGACCTTGAAAGGGAGCAAACCCCAAGGCTCAAGTCTATTGCCACCAGGCCAACCCCTGAGGGTTAGGTTCCTGTCATCATTTTCATCCCCTGTTGATTCTTACTAATGCTTATTTGACACGGGTAATCAATAAAAGAGTACCTGAAAAACAGCTCTTGTATCTATGCTCCAATATTATAGATGGAAAAAACAAAATATTTGTATATCCACAGGCATGGAAAGCAATTGAAACTCATTAAGTCAATTCCAAGCAGTAAGATTTCTAAAACTAGAAAACAAAAAGACAAGACAAAAAAAACCTAAAGTAATCCAAAAAATATTATTATGGTCTAATGGCAGTAGTTCCATAGCATGTGCATATCTGCTTCCGAGCTTGTAATTTTGGTTAGTTAAGGTATAGTTATTTTTTGATATTCTTTTGCACGGGTAATGATTACACATTCAACTCAGATCTTATTAAAAGTTGATCAACTTATAACCTGTGCAATCACATGATATGGACACTGAATCATATGAGCGAAAGAGAAAACGCAAAGCTGTTGTATATGATTTTCTTCAGCATGAAGCATTACCACAAGACTCCATATACTATAAAAAGAATCGTTTATTGTGCAAGTTTTAGCAAACCAGCTCTGAGCTCAGACCAGAAGTTTTTCAGATAATTGAAGATAGAGTTCAGCATGTTTTGGCTTTACAAGGAAATCAAAGTGATATGTTGTTGTTCCCAGTAACTAGTGAGCTTTCCAACGAGAATAATACTTTGAATAAGTTTGCTAGCAACTAGAAAGCAAGGTCCTGGTACTCAACAAGGAATTGCTTAGACGCTTTAGCTTCCACCACATTCCAGTAAATGATCTTATTAATGTGGTTAAACCAAACAGTAGGACAAGGTTTTCAAGGCTGGACCACAGACCTGTTTGCGCTTTTGATTGCCTGAGCTTCATCCAGCACCATATATTGCCATTTGACACGTCTGAAGTATTTCTCATCAGAGACTAGCAGTTGATAACTGGTAATGAGAATATGGAATCCAGCATCCCTGAAATCAAAGTCTGGTTAAATAACCAAGAAGAGGAACAAAATGCTAACAATTGAGGTTGCACTGCACAAGAAATGCTTTTTATAATTCAGATATAATTATCAACTTCATTACCAACTGCATTGGCAATTCAATACCGAGATAAGCTTGGTTCACCAAAAATTCCATTGGATTTTTACAAAATCAGGATCTCAGGCCTCCCCGTGTTTAAGCAGTTGCTCATTCTTCTGACTAACAACTTTGATTAAAAAATTTAATTAACTCAGACTTCTTGACATTTATTTGATACCCTCCGCCTCCCCATCCCCCAAACCATCCCACCCTTTCTTTGCTATACTGGTCATACTGCCATATTCCTAGGTGCCCAAGCCAAAAGCCATCATCTAACCTATGATTGACTTTGATGCTTCAAGCAGCTCAGTTTTATGAAGCAATATTTGCCTCATCAATATTCATCATCAAATTAAAAGTGCCTTACCAAGCAAGAATGTCAATGAACAAGAAAAGAATAGCAAATTCAGCTAAAGGATTATAGACCAATCAGCCTAATCGGAAGTATCTTTAAAATAGCTGCAAAGTTACTGGCTGAAAGATTGAAAAAAGTGATTAGGAAACTTATTTCTGGACTTCAAAATGCCTTCATCAAAGGCAGGCAAATCACAGATGCAGCCTTAATTGCCAACGAAGTTCTTGACTGGAAACTGAAGAGAGGGGAATCAGGCATCCTATGTAAGTTGGACATAGAGAAGGCCTTTGATCAACTCAACTGGCAATTCCTCATCACAATGCTAAGGAAAATGAGATTTGGTAATAGATGGATCTACTTGATGCCACTAATGATATTGCCTCATCCAAAAACTTATCAGTGGAGTTTACAGGAAAGAGATTACTCCAGCTATATAAAAATAAAAGACAATTAGCCTTGAGAGTGTGGATTAGGAGTTAATATTCCATCAAAACCATCTTCAATTCCTTTCTGTCCAGATACACCAAAAAATACAGGCAGGGAATCACTTTCCAGATCTTCCTGACGGACCTACTAACTTTCCAAGAACTCATTATGGAGCTAACAAACACACTTTTGAATTTACTATCTTTTGTGCTATTTGGATCTACTTGATGCCATAATGATATTGCCTCATCAAAAAGAGAAAGCAAATTCAAGAAATGAGGGAGACATGAAAGAACCAAAAGTGTAGGCAAGTCCACTACTCCTGTATTATGTATAGTAATAACCAAAGCCAAATGAAATTACCGTCGATATAGACGTTTTGGGTTAATATTCTTCCGAAGTACCATTCGCTCTTGTAACCCTCCCCAATATGGAAGAGTTTTTAGATCAGGGCNTGATATTCCCCCTTGCTATAGCACCACAGTTCCTCAACCCAGGCTCACTACACGAGACCCAAGCACAAGACCACACTGTCTAAGACCCATAAGCCACTGAATCCTCTCTCAAATATTCCCAGAAATACCACATTCCAAAATACTTTACTCTGAAGAACTTCCTGCGAATCTAAATCCGTTACCTTTACTTTCTAGATACTGATACATAGAATCCCATAATTAACATAAAAATACCACAAGTCTTGACCTTTTCCAATGAAAACACAGTCTCTAACCACATACACAACCTTAAGACACCTGATTGTTACATGTAGAATCTTGAACACATTAAAATCATTCTCGAGAGTCATTTACTTCTTATTCAAAGTGCAATTCACCTGATCAAACGAACATAACCACCCGTGCCTCATCAGCACTCTGACACCGCAGGATATGACCTCATCCCAATACAAACAAACATCTTCCTGCTCCATGCACCGAGCATTCTTTACCAACAACAGCTTAAGACATCCTGTGATTCTCACACATCTACGAAGCACCATATAACCTTTGTCAAAATTTTGCTTCACTCGTGCCATCCTCGGCTCAATTTCCGCAACCGGAACTAATTCGCCAGCATGCCTCAAACCGGAACCAACATGGCACATAACCGTACAATTAGCTAATCAATAGCAAACTCCCCAACTTGGCTCGAAGCCACAGATCAAAACACTCCCAACAACTCATAACGCACATACTCCATTGATGCCTTAATACCATAGTGAGATTAAACTCAATCCTTCATAAGCTTGTGGAAACACAAATCATCTAGAATTTTTTTCTAACTCTTCTGCAAATCTCGCATTCACTCACACAACAGCTAAGCCCACTCTCTAGGCGATCCAATTTAGATGTCAACACATTTTCTTCACTTGTAAATGAGATCTTCTAATAGATAACATAAGGATCACACAACTTTAGAACACTCCGCAGGAGACCCACCTGCTTTGCCTCCAACTACCATTTCTGTATACCTTCCACCGTCCTAAACTGTACGCAGTCGCTTAGTCTTCCTGAGTCTGAACTCATACCGCAACATAAAATTTTTACTTCACTCTCAACTGGAAACATGAAAAGATTCTTCACGCGCCCATAACTCAGGCTATACCTCGAATTGCAATGGAATTCAAACACCTAATAGTTCTTCTATCATCCAGTAGGCCTTCCTCATCACCTCCAAGTCACATAGATGCACCTTGCAACACTAACATACTCACCACGTAGCTAACCAGCCGTCACTCCCACTAATAGGGGCAATGCCGAACATATAAGTTCGAAACACTTGCTCACACAATCAGCACCTCGGTGCTCAAGCCATAGGAAAAGATCCGGCCTCAAGTCCTCCAGACTGGCCCAACATAAACTCACAAAGATTACATCTCGCCCCTCGATCGGGGAATCACAAGCCATCAAGGCACATCTGATACTGAGCGCTCATGCGCACGTACGAACACGTGGAAGGAATTTCAAGAGTTTCTTTTCAAGCTGAATCAAGGACGCACGATAAGAATTCAAGAATGTGAAGTTTTCCTAAAGGTTCTGCAGTCTCTCGAGGATAAGTACAGACGTCTCCGTACCGATCCACGAGACTCTACTAAACCGGCTCATGACTCGCGAGACCAAGTAACCTAGGCTCTGATACCAACTTGTCACGACCCCAACCTCGGTCGTGATGGCGCCCAACACACTGCTAGGAAAGCCCGACCAATTCAACAACCTTAACCCTTGTTATACAGTTCATGATTCAATTAACACAAATAATTACTAAGTCATAATACTGAAACTCTGAAATATAATTAAAACATGCGGAAAACCCAAGTAGAAATACTACTACACAACCCGAAGAATCCGGTGTCACAAGTCTGAGCCTCTAATACACGGGTGTCAACCTACTACATATTGCTCTAAAGAAATGCGAAAATAAAGCAAATAGGTCAGATGGGAAGATCAGGACTGCGGACGTCATGCAGCTACCTTGATGCTCCCAGATATGATGCTCGGCAGAGAAATCCTCACTCAGCCTCAGCGGGTGCACCTAGATCTGCACACAAGGTGCAGGGAGTAATGTGAGTACTTTCAACCAAGAGAGTAATAAACATAAATAAAGGCTGAGAGTAAGAAATCCTGGATAGGCACAATGTAAGTTATAATTACAGCAGTTTAATCCAGATAATGTCAACTCAATAAACCAATGAAAACAATGATGCTGCAACAGATAAGTAAATGAATGACAATCAATTAAGACATGCAACAAATAGTACGGTACTCTCTAGTACCCGCTGCGGCGTGCAACCGCTCCATTTATTTATCGTCGACGGCGCTCACTGGGGTGTGCAGACTCCGGGAGGGGCCCCTTACGGCCCAAGCGCAATATCAAGCCATCTCGTGGCATCCATTAGGCCCTAAGCCTCATATCAATATCAATATAATACTGCTGCGGCGCGCAGCCTGATCCCATACTCAGTCCAGAATCATATAAGCCCCTCGGGCACAATAATATAGAAATGTTCAGCCCAAACTTCATTAGAAATATTATTTAAGTTTCAAGTTTTGAGAAAAAGTGGTTGAGTCTGCAAAACAGTATTAAATACTAGGACTGAGTTCAATTATCTGTAAATATGGTAAGAAACCAGTAAAAACAATCCCTGAAGGATTCAAGCAGATGGCACGAAGCCCAATTATGACAATTAATCCATTTTTTATAAGGATATCACTAAGCTTCAATCAATTAGGTAGTAATTTTATTAAGCGGGACGGACCAAGTCACGATCCCCGACGGTGCTTTACCCCACGCCCGTTATTCGGCGTGCAAGTCACCTCAACATAGCACTACAATGTGCAAATTCGGGGTTTCAAACCCTCAACACAGCATTTACATCTATTACTAACCTCAAGCCGGCCAAAATCCTAGCTCGCTATGCCCTTGCCTCTCAAATCGACCTCCTCGCGCGTTGAATCTGACCAAAACCACAACGATTACGTCACATTATGCTATAGCATCAATACCCAATCGAAAATAATCGAAAAACATCAATAATCCCGAAATTGACAAAACCCGAGCCCCGGGCCCACTTCTCGAAACTCAGAAATTTTTACAGAAAAGTGTTCTTCATCTTCTCACAATTCCATACATATAAAGAACACCAAAATCGGAGTCCGTTTGACCCCTTAAATCGACCTCTAAAAATCTCATAATCTCAGGCCCCAAAATCCTATTTTTCTACTATTTTTCATGAATTAAAGGCTGGGATTATGGTCTATAATCACCCATAAACGAGCTTTAATAATCAAATCACTTACCTCTGTGATACCCATTGATTTTCTCTCTTAAAAATCGCCTCAGAAGCTTCTTCCCGTTCAAAAATTGGAAGAAAACTCGACCTGCTCATTACAGGTATACTGTTCACGCGTTTTACTGCTCCCAATGGATTCCTTGTGAAATATAATGAATTTAGGCTTTTGAATCACTCGATTTGACCTTATAATGAAGGAGATATGTAGGTTTTAAGATTTGCAAATGGTGCAGGTTTTTAGTACGCCGTCAGGGGCAATTTCGTCATTAACCTAAAAATCTGGGCAACCTTGGTAAAATGGCCATAAAATCCTCATACGATGTCCAAATTCGACGATTCTTTTTGCTACGGGTCCGTAATTACGATACGGATCTAATGCTTCATTCAAAACAGTATCATTTGTTCAATATGATATCATTTATGCTTGAAGAAACGACGTCGAAGCATAAGAAAAACGAGCACAACGCAGCCCAAACCTATCTGAAACTCACCCGAGCTCCTCGAGAGCGCATACGAACATACTAACACGTCACATATGATCATTCAAACTTAGTTGCACTCTCAAAACACCAAGACTAACATCAAAATACCAATTTTACATCGGATTCAAGCCTAAGTTCTTCTAAAACTTTCGAAACACGTATTTGATCAAAAACCCAACCAAATCACCTCCGAATAACCTGAAATTTTGCACACACATCCCAAATCACCTAACGAAGCTACAGCAACTCTCGGAATTCCATTCCGACCCTCGGATCAAAATCTCACCTATCAACCAGAATTCGCCAAAATACTAACTTCGCCAATTCAAGCCTAATTCTACACCGGACCTCCAAAATCACTTCCGATCACACTCCTAAGTGACAAATCATCCCCGAAGCTAACCGAATCGTCGGAATCCACATCCGAGCCCTCTAACTCATAGGTCAACATCCGGTTGACTTTTCCAAAACAAGCCTTCCTTAAAGAGACTAAGTATCTCATTTCCTTCCAAAAATCAACCCAATTCAACTCGTTCACACAAGACGCTAATAATGAAGCATAACGAAGCAGAAAATGGGGAAAACGGAACGGTTCTCATGAGACGACGGGTCGGGTCGTTATATCCATGATGATATACAATAGAATAATCTTAGTTCTTGAGAAGTTCAATCCATCAGCACTATTGAAGATTCAAATCTCTCTGTTAAATAAATTTACGTCAAGCTCTTACGGTCTGCATAAATCTCGCAAGTTTTATCGTATGAGTAGTGTCTCTAGATCTTTAGAGCAAATACCATTGCGGCCATCTCCAAATCAAAAATAGAACAGTTCTGCCATATTTTTTATTTATTTATATAGTTGTGTTAAAGCACAAGCTATCCCTATCATTCTACGTGATAACACATCCTTATTCGACTTTTGAAGCATTACATAATATCGTGAATCCACTAGAACTTGATGGTAAAGCTAATACCGATAGTAGTCAATCATGTCTTGAGCTTCTAAAAGCTCTACTCACATTTCTTCGTCCACTGAAACTTTGAATTATCTTTTTTTTCTATGTTAACTTGGTAAATGGCGCCACTACTATGGAGGAATTCTACATAAAATAGCTTGTAGTACCCTCCCTAGCCCAAAAAGTTGTAAATCTCCATAGAAGTAGTTAATCCTTGCCACTT